TCTCTCTCTCTCTCTCTCTCTGTCTGTGTGTGTGTGTGTGTGTGTGTGTGTGTGTGTGTGTGTGTGTCGACCCCCTCGGCCCCATGGCACCCAGCCCGGCCTCCCCTTGCCCGCGGGCCGCGTCCGCCAGCGTTCCGGCGCCGCTTCGCCCCCTCGCCCGCCAGCCCTCAGCACGCTTCCACCCCCGTGCCGACGCTTCCCCGTGCTTCGACCCGGTACCGGCCCGGCCTTTCCCCCGCCCCGTCGGTGTCCCGCTGGCTCTGTGCAGTTCCCGCCCGGTTTCTGCTGGGCCCCACGTGGGGCCCTTTGCATGCGTTAGCAGTATAGAGATAGAAATCTGAAATTCAGTTGTAATGACCGGGTGTTCTATTCGGGGAATAACGGTACTGTTCTTTGTTGCCTTCCATTTATATGATATATGATGGCAATAAGCGTGATGTTGGGGCCTGCGGCACCTTTTTCCCCATTTGGGGGGAAATGGATACAAAGGTTCCATCGCGGGGAGGTTTTATGACTTTTCCCGATATGTGAGGGCAATCATGTCATGACTTGTTGATAAACAGACCCGAGTTCGAACCCCTACAGTCTTCCCCCGAATACAACACACGGTCATTATAGCTGAATTTAGACTGAAAGATAGACCAAATTCAGCTATAATGACCGTGCGTTGTATTCGGGGGAAGACTGTAGGAAGTGCTTCCTAGCACTTCCAAGGGGTTCGAACTCAGGTCTGTTTATCAACACGTCATGACTGTCACCTTTTCCTCCTCCATTCCCAACTCTTCCTCGTTCGCCTCCCTCTCCCTCTCCCCGTCATGCCCCCACCACCTCCTCCTCCGCGCCCTCGTGCTCAGTCAGCTCGACCTCCTCCCAGCGGGATTGTCCTTCAAACTCGTCCCCTCGCTGCCCTGCCACCTGCACTTCCTCCTCCTATCTTTCATCGTCCGCCGTCTCCACCTCCGCATTGCAACCCCTTGGTACACGTCTCCTTTCTCGCTGTCCACCTTCTCTTAGACTACCTCCTTCCCATCAACCTGCTATAATAACCCCCTCCTCCCCCTCCTGCTTGGTCAGTTCCTTGTCCTCCTACGATAGAACGATTCAGAGAAGATTCGCATGGCACTGTGCACGTCGCACGAGTCCATTGCGACTTCATCTCACACCACCACCTCCTCCTCCTCCTCCTCCTCCTCCTCCTCCTCCTCCCACCACTCCTCCTCGTCATATCCTCCACCACCTCCTGGTCTTCCCCCTCATGTTCAGTTGCCTCCGCCTCCTAGTAGAAGACGATGATGCAGAGAGTACTAGCATGGTCCCTGTGCAGGCCACGCCCACGCGCGAGTTTAACAGCCACTATGAATAGATAGATGCTCATTCGAAATCAATATCATTTGTTTACGTTTTTTTTAAGAGCAATAGAAAATACGGAAAGAGAGGGACTTGAACCCTCGGTAAACTAAAGTTTACATAGCATTTCCAATACTACACCATCGACCACTCAGACATCTTTCCATTAAGAAAAAGAAAAACAAAAAACGGAGGGGAAAAAAGAACGCAAACTGCACTCCTCGTCACACACACCAAACAAAAAAGACGAACCGCACGTCTCCGTCCTCATGCACCCCTTCATGTTCTTCCATCCCTGTCCACGCTCCCTACCTCCTCCTCCTCCTCCTCCTCCTCCTCCACTGTGAGCTCCACCTCCGCCTACCCCCCCCCCCCCCCCCCCCCCCTCCCCCCCCCCCCCCCCCCCCCCCCCCCCCCCCGCCGTCATTTACCTACTTCTCCCCCCACCCAGCCGCACTTGTCAAGCTTTGTTGCGTCACACGACCACAGTGGCGATCATTTTGACGCGCGCACTCAGACTCGCACTTCACTTTGCTAAATGCACCTGATGGCCATTACACTCCTCCCCTCTCTCTGCTCATACTCCATCACTGATCTCATCCTCCCTTCTCCTCCCTCCTCCTTCCTGCTTCGCTTCAACCTCCATCCTCAAAGCAATGGTCCTCGACTCCTCGTGCCTTTTCCACGTTTTCATGCATCGTCCTTTCTGTTTTCCCTCCTTCTCTTTCCTGCTTCCCATCTTCCCTTCTTCTCCTTTGTGCTTCCCGTCGACCTCCATCGTTAACAGTCAATCGTCGCCGTCCATTTTCGAATTTTCGATGTCAG